TCTTCGGTTTTTTAACAAACAGTATCTTCTTATGGTCCAGGTTTGTGATTTCACTTTGTGTTATTTTTTTTTCTTCTGGTGGTGATTTTCTTGTTTTGACTTGTGTTGTTGATTCACTGTTTCTTTAGGCTCAGATGCCCAGGCCTGACTTGAAGGGGATTACTCAGGCAAGTAATGATACATAGTTTCTTTGATGATATCCCTTCAACTTTTGTGGTTATTATGCTACGTTGTGGTTCCATCTTTATGTTTTCCTCTTAGTTCTTAATGTGCATCTTTGCTTACAAGTTGACATATAATATGCCAAGTGTTGTGAATCCGCGGATGAACAATGATGAAACCGTTAGAATAAGAGACAAAGCAATTGAGGCGAATACTCTTTTGTTTAGGGTTTCCTTTTCATTAACTGTGTGGATGAATATTACGAACCCTTTATATATAAGCCTCAAACCCGATACAAGTAGGAATAGCAAATAGGGAAATTTTTCTATCTCTAACGTGTACTGCCTCTATACATTTTCCTTTCTTGCAAATATGATGGTTTGATTTTACTATAACGTTCGATGTATATTTGACCTAAGCCATTTAAGAAAAAAATTCAGGTGAGAGATGCCAATGCGGTATTGTACTCGAGAAAAAGGATAGGTCACCTTCCAGGTTAGTTGGTAATTGTGCTTTTACAAATTTAATTTTTTTCCCTTATTTTACTTCCAAGCCACCGGTAATTGTGCTCGCAGGTATTGATGTTGGACATCGGTTTTTCTCAAGAGCCGAAATGGTTGCTGTAGGCTTCCATAGCCATTGGTTAAATGGAATCGACTACATGGGAGTCGAATACAAACGAGTAATACGCCTTGCCTTTTTTGTTCTACTGTTATCCGAAATATAAGATATTTCCATGACATCTCTTTATCCATTAATCCCAATTTTTTCTTTCCATTACAGGAGTATAGTAACTACCAGTTCCCGCTTGCTGTTTCTATTGTCATGTCGGGCCAGTACGAGGATGATCTAGACAATGCAGATGTGGTGACTTACACTGGCCAGGGAGGGCATAACTTAACTGGTAATAAACGCCAGATTAAGGATCAAGATTTAGTACGAGGGAATATGGCTCTAAAGGTCTGTTTTCTTTGTAATCTTCTTAATATGAATGCAGACAAACTTCTTATCATTTAAGTTTTTCTTTCTATCGCACTCCACTTGTCTTTATGTGCGTGTTAAGTTAGTCTGTTAGTTCATGCACATCTCTGTCTTTCACATGGAACTCACATATTACTTTCATCTGTTACAGAACTGCTTAGATCACGAGGTGCCTGTCAGAGTTACTCGTGGTCATAATTGCATAAGTAGCTATACCAAAAGAGTATATACTTATGATGGATTGTACAAGGTACTCGTGCATGTATCCCTGTATTATTACTCTTGAGTTCCTTTTACCTGTAATATTATCACTGATTTCCTAAAGGCCGAGTGAATTTTTTTACTTCTTCGATACATCAAAGGTCTTATAGTTATTCCTTATTCATTGGGTTGACTCTTGTCGAATTCCATACCTTATTCGTACAGGTTGTAAAGTACTGGGCAGAAAAGGGCGTATCAGGATTTACGGTGTATAAGTATCAACTGAAACGATTGGAGGGGCAACCAGAACTAACTACTGATCAGGTCTGTCTGTTCTCGTGTCTTATGATTTATAATTCTGTGTTGTGAATTTGGATGAAAATGATAAAACTTTAGCAAAATAATAGACAATCACATGAGGCAAATACGCTTTGTCTAGGACTTCTTAATTAACTTGTCAATAAAGAATACAAACCTTAAGATCACTTGCCCCCAAAACCTGATACTACTATGATTACGTGAACATGAACTTTCCTCTGGCCCATGGCATTCCTTCACTAATTCTAGTAGGGCCCCTTCGAAATCCAGCAAGATTGTTTAGTCACTTTGACAACATTCAGTATTCTAATTGCCTAGCATGGATATTTGTTGTGGAGTTTATATAAGTTAATTTAAGTCCACATGTTCTGAACAAGAAACATAGTTGAAATTTGAAAAGATGCCTTACAAACTAAATAATCCCTTCAAAACCAGATCCCATCTATGAGTATGGTTTATCTTCTTGGTAAAATATCCAAACAGTATATTCAGCTTTGCTATAAATAATGTGATTGAATAAATCGTCCTCCATTATTTGTTATTCTTATTCTGACATTATAAATTGTATACTTTTGAAAATTAAAACTATGATCTAATCCCATCAAGACAATGTCATTGATCGAACAGTTCGAACATTTGCAGGTTTATTTCGCCACTTCAAGAATAAACTTTTGCTTGCATTCCCTTTTTCATAGACTTGCTTCTCCTTCTTTGGCAATATATATGATGTTCTAACTTCTTACTTGGCTCAAAGCATGCATATTATTATGTTAGCGATTAAGGAAAGTGAGAAAGAGATTAGTGGTAATTACAAAGACAGATAATTTAGGGATATGATATTTGAGTGATCGTTGGAGT